TTATCAATAATTGAGCTACACTCGGTGCTCAAAAAGAGGCTGAATTATTGTGACATTTATCACAGAAAAATGACTACTTAACTTCATCGTTATTATGGGATAAGATGCCAGGTAGGAAAAAACGTAATGATATTATTCAATTCATGAAGATCTATTTGCATGAACTAGAAGTTTCTACTTTGACCTAAAAATATAGGAAAGAAACCAACTCAGTAGGACAGTGACCATATGCATAATATTGTCCTTGTATGCTTTCCAATTGGAATAGAGACAAGGCCAAGTGCCCTGCTGAGAAAACTGTATCTAATGATTAGTTCTTTATTTCTTTTGGAACTTTTATGTTATATCTAAATATTAATTAAATTATCTGATGTCGACTATGGTTTTTAATTGAGCAGTGTACTAAGCCTAATTATTTCATGAAATTTTGTTTTGGTTTTGGACACATGGACACACACAATAATGAGTCATGATGTGAAGTGTGTTTCTTACATAGATTACCCTCAGAGAGTTTGAAAAACACTACTTTAAAACCTGAGCTAACTGAAATAAAATATTTTGCTTATTGAAGTAAGAATATTTCATCCAATAAAATAAATCCCAGTTACAGATATACCTTTTGTGTTGTCGAGTTTAGCAACGACTTTTTGTTCAGCAACATTCCAAATGATCACTAAATTATCGGTACTGCCACTTGCAAACAGATCAGGGTTGTGTGGACACCAAGAGATAGCTGTGATTGTTTTTTTATGTTCAGACATAATTGAGTGAAGTTTGAATTCATTATAACGGTGATCCAACTAAAAAAATATATAAACAAAACACATCAGTGCTTCTTTCTAGGTAACACTTTCCATTAACAATCACATTATTTTTGAAAAGCTACATACATGAGAACTAGTCAACCTGAGCACAAGACATGAACACAATTCAAGCCGTGATCTGATTTCAGGTGAATTCAAGTGCATTCAATCAGCTGAAAGAAATCCTTTTTTCAAAAACCAAGAGAGAACTGAAATTAAACATATCAATTGTAAAAACAAATAAAAATAAATGTGGTATATTTAAATATGCATAATAACTCAGATTTATTACATTTTCCATAGCTCTATCTATTTATGAGGGAAAAATACTTGTGTCTCGAAACGTTCTTTTCTGCAATTTTTCATCTATATTTGCATTAAAAAAATTAGGTCAAATAAGCCAACTGCTAATTACTACCTTATTAAGATGTCCAAAGTTTGCAGGACAATGGTATCATTGGACCTGTTTTATGTTCTTGCTTTTTAGAAGGAGAATTATGTTGTGTTTTTACATGTAAGTGGACCAAAGGAACAGCCTGATTTTCCTATCTCCTTTGTAAACGTGCCTTTAGTAGGTGGGTCAATTAACTTATCATCTTTAACATGTTTGGGATTATACTATATACGTCATTTTATTGAATCTGGTTTTTCCCTTTAACATATAATGAATCTTCTCAGTGTTATCGAAGAGTTTTCAAATCATTACTATATTAACTGTTTATTATACCAACCTTTCTTGGACCGTATACTTGCAGTAAAATCCTAACAACGAACAAGTCTTCAATGCCCAAGATCATGAAGCTCTGCTTTCCAGTCTCATCTGGTACCATATTCTTCCCTGTTCACTCCGACCTTCTTGTTTCTCTAATTCGGCAAAATCACTCCTGCTTTGGGGCCCAGGCTTGCTGCCCACTTGGCCTGGAATGCTCTCCCCACTGATCTGCTCATGGTTATTCATTTTCCTGTTCAGTCTCAGTTCAAAAACACCTCTTCCCAGAACCTGTCCCATGACTCTGACTATCTTTTTTAAATTGAGATATAATTGACATACAACATTCTATTAGTTTCAAGTGTATATCATACTAATTCAATACTTGTATATATTGCAAAATGATCACTATGACCAGTCTAGTTAACACCCAGCACCACATGCAGTTACAAATTATTTTCTGTGATGAGTACTTTTAAAATCAAATTTCTTAGCAACTTTCAAATATGCAAGAGAGTGTCATTAATTATAGTCACTACTCTGTACATTACATCCTATGATTTGTTTTATAACTGGAAGTCTGGACCTTATGACCACCTTCACCAATGTTGCCTATCCCCAACCCTCCATATCTGTTCTCTGCATCTATAACCTTGGTGCTTTGTTTTGTCTTTTAGATTCCACATAAGAGTGAGATCATTTGGTATTTGTTTGTCTCTGTCTGATTTATTTCACTCAGTATAATGTCCTCAAGGTCCTTCCATGTTGTCACAAATGGCAAGATACCCCTCTTTTTTATGACCGAATAATAGCCCATTATATACATGTACCACATCTTCTTTATCCATTAATCCACTGATGAACATTTTGGTTGTTTCTGTATCTTGGCTATTGTAAATAATGCTTCAATGAACAGGGAGGTGCATGTATCTTTTTGAGTTATTGTTTTGGTTTTCTTTAGATAAATACCTCAGAAGTGGAACTGCTGTATTATGTGGTAGTTCTATTTTTTTTTTTTTTGGAGAAACCTTCATACTGTTTTCAACAGTAGCTGCATCAATTTACATTTCCACAAACAGTACACAAAGGGTCCTTTTTCTCCATACCCTCACCAACACTTGTCATTCCTTGTTTGTCTTTGCAGTACAGCCATTCTAATAGGTGTGAGGTGAACTTTAAATTGGGCTATTTAAATATACAAATGCATTTTCTGTGCATTTAGGAATAAATAGATTTGTAAGTATTCAGTGATTTAAGTTATCTTTGGCAGATACTGTGAACATGTCTAATGTACCCAGTAGAAAAAACTGCTATGTAATTCAGAAATTCAGTGGAAGACCGAACACAGTGAATGCCTGAAGAAGCCACATTGCACATCAGCGATCTTCACTGACTTTACAAAAAAAATTATCCATATAAGACTTTAAGCACAAAATAGAATATTGAACTACTTGCAGGGATTAACCCATTAATATATTCCTATTATATTTTCAATTCAGTATTATGAGACTGTAGTGCTACATTGAGTTGGACCATAAATTACTCTACTTTTAGAGTTTTTAATACAATATATTAGTGCTTATAATTCAATGGTTAAAGAAAAATGCTAATGGCATTTACAAGTGTCATTTACTAGTTCAGAAAAATCTAAAAGTGTATCAGTATCATCATACAGACTGTGACAGATTCTCAGCTGTTGTGCATCACTGCTAGGTATTGTTTAATAAAAATTCCCTCTGAAAAGCATTATAATATTTTATATGTATACAGTATAATTTTCAACGGACTTTATTTAGATGTTCACATTTAAAACAATACTTATTCATGTAAGTTTAATTAATGTTAGTGTAACTAATAATGTAATTTTTGATGCATATTTTGAAACAAGGTTTTACAGTGAACTCTGTAATGAACTATCACCTAAGTTTATTTGTATTCACTTCTAAATCAGGGTAATTTTTAGTTTGTTTCAGTCATTAATGACACACAAACTTTCTTCATAGGTTCTTTTATGTTAAAACTTTTAGCTTTATCTTCCTAAATATTCAAGTCATAAAATGTCATCATAAAACTTAAGACACATGCAAACATTAAAAAAAAAAGTTCTGCCTCCATCTACTTGTTTACCCTACTGACCCCTTAGAGGAATGGCAAGTCCTCTGTCCTACCTGGTAAGTTCTCTTCTTGAGGAGGAAATAAGAGACAAGAAAATAGGGACCTAAAGCTAAGGGAGAAATTTTGTAGCAGGAAATCAGGGGGTGAGAAGCTTAGCAATGCATGCAGATTGTAAGAAGGTGGAGAGGAAGACAGAGGAGACACTTAGCAGGCTTCTGCTACTGTCTTCTGTGGGGAACCGAAAGTGAGAAAAACGTTCCGTTACACTGAAGCTGCATTTTCACTGCTGGATGTTTCCTCAATCTTGAGAAATGGACTGCATGAATCTTATTCAATATTGTGGAAAGTTAACTCATTTATAGATTAATTATCTTATTTTTTAAATTTTCAATAAACTACAACAGTATTAGTCATTAAAAGGAAGTTTTACTCCAGGATAAAGCAATAATTTTCTACTCTTGACTGAAATGAGTTGGTGTTTAAATATTAAAAAAAAAATCATCCAAGAAACATTTAATAAGTGGCGAGTGAGTGCCAGAGAGTGTGCAGTAACTTGAGAATTCAAAGACGAAGAAGACGTATTCTGGTCAAGGAAGTATGCAGAGAGGAAGTCCATTTTTATAAGGTCCTTCTCTGAGAAGGAGGAAATATGAAAAAAGCTTATACATCTGAGCTGAGATTTGAAAGATGAGAAAATGTTCTCTGGACAGGCTATGTGGGAAAACTGAAAAATTAGTAAAGAAAGGCAAGATATAAGAGTCTGAGATTTTTTAAAAAGGCAATTCTCTTGGTCTGTCTGGAGCACAAGGTGAGAGGGAGACAGCGACAGAAAGACTGAAATGATGGCACACCACGAAGCCTGGATGCTACTATCAAACGATCAGAAGCAACTGTACGTTTAAAATTTTAGATCTGTATGATAGATGACTGATGACACTGAAGGATAAATTACAGGGAGTCTAAACAACGCAGAGAATATGAAGAGACTATTACAGTAGTTTAGGTGAGAAGGACAGAAAGAAGACAGTACAAGACAGAAAGTACTAGAATTGCTCTGGTTACCTAGGGCACAGAACGTGAGCAGAAGGAGTCCCTGGTAACGCTCACAGCTGTGCTTTAGGTGAAAGGTTAGCTGTTGACACTGAAATACTGGCTTGGGTCTAAGAAAAACTGGACTTGGATTTAAGGTGCTCATGGAGCCTCCACATGAAAAAATTCAAAGGCCACATTGGCTGAACAGATTGAGAACTGATGCGAGCTGTCTGGATGGAGCAAGGACATGAAAAAAAGTACTTATAAAGGTTCTTATCCTAAGAATTTCTCAAAATATATATATACTATTTTTAATATAATGATCTCTAATGGACTAACCAATTCTTCAGCTGATAAGACAATTTTCTCATATCAAATGTTACTGAGCAAGGTTTAAAACAAATGAATAAATTAATTCCATTTATTTATATGAGAATATAGTTTAAAATAATTAAAAACTACTCGCTCGCCATTCACAAAACAGGACCTTTTAATTCTTTAAGAAATTCTTTTTTCTCAATGGCACATGAAAGATTATTAAATCAATTAAGATGTTGCTTATATAATTTAATACTATGATACAAGCATTTTCTAAAAGCTTGACTTATCAAACCAATATAGTATAAACAGTAACAAAATATAAACATAACAAAACATATATATAACACCAGCAAAATTAGAGCATTAAGATTTTCACATCACAGGAATTTAAAAGTAAGTGTTAATTAAGTATTAATTTCATCTGATACAATTAAAAATCAAAACGAATCAGGACCCCTGTACCTGATAAACATAGATGGCCAGGGTAGCGCAGTATGCAAACCTGTCGCCACCGGCAGCACACACATCTCTGCTCCACGGCTGACATCCGGCAGCCAGCAGCCCCACCTGCCTCACCTGGGACATGTTCGCCTTGAAAAACAAGTTTAGAGGAATATCAGTCATTTCCACTACTTAATACGCTTCCTCTTCATTGTTTTACATTTGTCTCCCACAATCCTATCTTTATGCCCCGAAAAAATTTTCTATCAGGACTATGAATCTCAATGCTTTCAGAGAACAGGAGTTGAAATCCCCAAATGGCAACAGACATCAAGGCAGGCCTTTAAATTAGAGAAGCAAGAGATTATGAAATGAAACATGACAACTGACATTTGACCAGGGTTGGGAATTCTAGGAGTGACAGGGACCAGAATAAAATAGTGACTGCATGTCCTATCCAAAGGGTCTAGTACAGCTGGAGAGGCCTATCTCTTGTTGCCAGATTTGTGGAACCTCCCAGAGAAATGGAAATATCCAGATTTTTATGTAAATGTACCAATTTTTAAATACTAACAATTCATTCAAGGCAGTAAATTCAAATATAAAAAACTATGAGCCAATATTGGGAGGATGGACCTCTGTCTTAGACCTTCACCCTCTTCACATTAACTGTATTCTCACAAAAACGATCCAAGGTACACAAGGCAGGAACACAAAGTGGGTTAATAGTCCGCTCACTGTGAAGAGGGGGCAGAAGGAATCTGGAAACTGCTGAATGCAAGTAGTCTGTGTGGCCAGGCAGAGAATTTCAGAGCAAACAAGCCCAGAGTCAGTTACGTTATCTCTCATTTATTTATAAAGCTACTTTCTTCTTTATATCTTTTCTACTTCATATTGCCAGCTCCTAAAAAGATCTCTTCTTTTTTCCTCTTTCTTTTCTTTTCCAACTCTTTCTATCTTCAGCCCATTAAATCCCCTTATCTGCATGGAACTAGAGATATATTTACAAAAAATCAACAGATAAATTGTAGTGAAATAATATATTGCAGTATTATTGGCATGCTTAAAAAAAAAACAACTGTGCTCTCCACCTTTGAGTGCTTACAAGTAAAAATAAATGGCTACAAAAATCTGTTTTCTTCCTCCCCTAACGACATCTGTATTTTCTCAGGCACTAGCATTCTGGATAAATAAAAAAATACATAAACTTTTTTCCAATTAATAATGTTACAACAATATATTACTTTTCACTGAAAATATTCATTATTTTAACCACATGTGCATTAAATAGGCTTTTATGGTTTATCCTTGGGATGTACGATTACTCTTAATAATGTCTGTATGTAAAAGTGCTTTCTGATTTATGTTTAAACACATTTTAAATTCATATTTGGAAAAAGAAATATAAGAAAAAGATATTTAAACAAACAGGTAAAACTGAGTCATTTAAAGAATTTTCACTTTCTGTTAACTTTCTCAATTTAAAAAATTAATAAACTTTATTTTTAGAGTAGTTTTAGGTTTACAGCAAAACTGAGTAGAAATTACACAGATTTTCCATTCACTCCTTGTCCCCTAACACACACAACCTCTCACACTGTCAACATCCCCACAACGTCCCCAGATGGCACATTTGCTATAATGATGAACCTACACTGACACATCATTATCACCCAAAGTCCACGGTTTACATTAGGGTTCACTCTTCGTGTTGTATGTTCTGTGAGTTCTGACAAATGCACAATGGCATGTATAGTACCATGAAGAGTAGTTTCACTGCCCTAAAAATACTCTGTGAGTTCTGACAAATGCACAATGGCATGTATAGTACCATGAAGAGTAGTTTCACTGCCCTAAAAATACTCTGTGCTCTGCCTGTTCATCCTTCTCTCCCTCCTCACTGCTGATAACCACTGATCTTTCTACTGTCTCCATAGTTTTGCCTTTTACAGAATATAGCTGGAAATCATACAGTATGGAGTTTTTCCAGATTGGTTTCTTACACTTAGCAATATGCACTCAATGTTCCTCCATGTCTTTTCATAGCTTGAAAGCTCATTTCTTTTTAGCACTAGATAATATTCCATTGTTTGGATGCATCATGGTTTATTTATCCATTCACCAATTAAAGGACATTTTCATTGCTTGCAAGTTTTGGCCATTATGCATACGGCCACTATCTGTGTGCCAGTTTTTCTCTGGACATAACTTTTCAATTCATTTAGGTAAATAGGAAAGAATGCAGAAGGAGGAGTTGCTGGATGCTGGTAAGGGTATGTTTATTTTGAAGCAAATCATCAAACTCAGAGTTTTGCAGAGTGTCTGCACCATTCCCATCAGCAGTGAATGAGAGTTCCTGTCGCTCCACATCTTCACCATCCATTGGTGTTGTCAGTGCCTCGGATGGGTCACTCTAATAGGTATGCAGTATTATCTCATTGTTCTTTTAATTTACAATTCCCTAAAAATTTATGATGTCGGACACTTTCCCATAAGCTTACATGCCATCTATATTCTTCAGCGAGGTATTATCTTTTCAAGTCTTCTGCACATTTTTTAAAAATTGGGTTGTTTGTCTTCTTGTTGAATTCTAAGAGTTCTCTGCATATTCTGGATAACAGCTATCAGATTGCTTTTGGCAAGTATTTTTCCCCAAGTCTGTGGTTTGTCTTCTTATTCGCTTGACATTTGTCTTTCACAGAGGAGGGTTTTTTTTAACTTAATAAAGTTTATCTTATCAATTATCTATTTCATGGATCATGCCTTTGGTGTTGAATCTAATAGTTCATGGTCAAACCCAAGGTCACCTAGGTTTTATGTTTATCCTCCAGGAGTGTTATAGTTCTGTGTTTTACCTTTAGGTCTATAGTCCATTTGGAGTTAATTTTGTGAAGGGAGTAAGGTTTGGTCTAGTCTAGATTAATTTCTTTGCACGTGGATGTCCAGTTGTCCTAGCACCACTTGTTGAAAAGACTGTCTTTTCTCTGTTGTATTGCCTTTGCTCCTGTGTTGAGAGCAGGTTGATCATACTTGTGTGGGTATACTTCTGGGCTCTCTATTCTGTTCCATTGATCTGTTTGTTCTTTCATCCCTACGACACTGTCTCGATCACTACAGTTTTGTAGTAAGTCTTGAAGTCGTGTAGTGTCAGGCCACTACTTTGCTGCTCTCCTCCAACACTGAGTTAGCTGCTTTGGGCCTTCTGCCTCTCCACATAAACTTCTGAATCAGTCTGTCAATATCCATAAAGGAGCTTCCTGTGATTTTGGTTGGGATTTTGTTGCATCTATAGACCAAGTTAGCAGTAACTGACATCTTGACATTACTGATTCTGTCTATCCCTGAATATGCAGTCTCTCTCCATTTATTTAGATCTTTGATATCTGTCATCTGAGTTTTATGGTTTTCCTCGTAGTGATGTTATACATATTTTGTTAGATTTAAACCTCAGTATTTTTCACTTTATCAGTTTTTCTTGGTTTACTGCTTTTAGTTTCCAAATTCAGATAATATAAACGTTTCAATATTGTCATACAATTTGGTATGCCCTGGTATGTTCCTAAGCAGCTTTTATAAATCTTATAGTCCATTTTTAAATTCAGAGTTGAATAATTTGACCAAACCAGCCATTAAAATAATGGGTAGAAACAAAACAAAATGGCAGCTTACTAAAAAAATCAGGAGTTTGAATGAAATGTTAAAATGTCATGCATCATTAAACATATGAGTACTATTGCATTTATAAATGAATTACGTATTTAAACTGCTAGAATTTGAAACTTCTAGATAATTTTTTAAACTATTATAAAAGTATACATATAAAACACTAAGCAGCCTTTATTAAATGGTATCTACAGTTGCCAAGGAGATAAAAAGAAGTGTCCAGAAGCTTTTGTGGTCTTTGCAGTCAGCATGAATGCTTACACAATTAGTGATTCTGCATTAGTGAAGATAGAAAATGTTCAACTGAAGGTCCATTTCAAAATATATGTTTATATTTTAAATATAAATCCTACAAAACATGTCACATTTATAGGTAAACAAATATACTTAAACTGTATGTGACAGGTGATATTACACACTCTTTTTATCTTTACTTAAGAATATGTTTCATTTTATTGTGAACCATTTAAGAATTCCCATTTCCATTCTAAAGATCTGTTGTTTCAAAAAAATTAAAAAGATTTGTTATTTCAGAAAACATCATCTTTTTGGCCCAGAAACAACATACACACTTTAAAGATGAAGTACTACCCTGCGTTCACTGAATGGTGCAGAATTACAAAGGATTCAGGAAGAAAGCCTGAGCACTGCGTCACATCACATGCAGCCGACAGTGTCAGCAGCCCAGCAACTACAGCCCTGCAGAGATATGATTTTAATTTTTTAAACTAAATTCTAGTTTTGGTTTCAATCTCGTATTATATGAAATACACAATACACAGTATAACTACAGTGAGGTGGTGTAAGTGTATGTACTGTAAAAAAGCAAGTGATAAAAGTGTGTTTGCATTAGATTTGTACAATGGTAAAGCTCACTTCCGAATATGCAAGATTATGATATGCCATAATCATGAAATTTAAATATAGCTAGAGTTACAACACTGCCAAAAATAAAATTATAAAACCAAGTCAAAATCAAGTTGATATATACATTATGTGTGTGGGTCTGTAGAAATACACACACATGACATTAATACTAACTATATCAAGGTATAAAGGCCAACTGAGTATCTAAAATCAAAACTTTTACTTGTATGTTATTTTTAAAACACTACATCTCTAAATCATAATTTTTCACTAAAAAATCCAACTTTTCTTTTCCTGTAACATCAAAAAACAACTTGAAAAATCTGCTATGCTGAATGCTGATTGTACAGAGATATACGGACTTACATACGATCTGAAAAATTGTAAGCCGGAATTTTAGAAGAAATGAAACTCAACATTCATGTTTCAAACTCCATTTTTTTATAATAAGATCTTTCACTGTCATCTAAGTTTGTATAAGAACTGATCAAACTTGAGCCAGAAGAAGCTCAAACTCAGGAAGATGATTTGGTAGTTTTAGGGTTGAACCACATCTGTGTATGAGATCAGCTGTTCTTTAATATGTCTCTGAACCAGGAATTCACTTATAAAGGCCAACAGTGTATTAAAGGGCAGACTGGGGTTATGGTGGAGGAAAAGACTTTGAATACTTATCATCTCTGGAAGTTGTCCCCAAATCACTATAAAGGAATATGCAATTTCAGTAAAAAGTCTTTGAATCAGTCACTCCTTCCTCCCAAATCAGACTATCATCCATATCCCTTTCTGTAGAGAAATAAATAGACCACACTTGGAAAAAAGCCTTCTGTTTGAACATCAGAAATACACAGTTATTACATTTAAACTGCACACTCACAATACAAAGCCTTAACAGTGCGTGCGTGCGTGTGTGTGTGCGCCCAGGGGACCCTGGAGTACTCCTGCTGTATTCGTAAGCTGAAATCCTTCCATCATTGGTGGGTAAGGGTGGGACTCAGGATGGAAAGCTACCCACTAACTCTCAGCCTCTCTTCTGAAGAATGCTTTAGGATCACAACATGAGCCTTATTCTCCAGAGTTAGGTATTTACTGACTCCAGAGATGTTTACCAGCTTGTTTCACTGCTGAGAATTTATAACTAAAAAGATAATTAAAAAGAAGTAAAATACTGAGAAAATATCTTTGATTGATGTGACCAGAATAGGTCCCTGAAGAAATAAGGAGGAAGAAAAATTCAGTGCTGCATGTTGTTAACAGTAATATGCCTTCAAACAAGCTATGGGGGAAAGCTGCTAAAACTACGTAAAGATACTCTGGCTCTTTCGTTCCACTCATCAGTGGAAAGGAAAACCCTTAAGTTGCTTTCATTTAAATAATTGAGAAATCTTTCATTCAAAAGGTGAACATAATCAAAGAGAAATCCTTTATTACTCTAAACTAAATCCATTTTGATAAGGTGCATTTAAAATGGCAGTTTTCTGCTATTGCGATAATAGATCAGGATAGCTATATTCAAAACACTATGCAGAAGTTGCCATAGTAACAATGCAAATCCCTTTGAAACATAATTAATTGCCTAAAAATTTATCAAATGGAACATGGCACTCTTCTTCAGAAAATTTTTTCATCTTCTTTTACAATATTATTATAATCATGGGATTATCACACAAATTTCTACCATTAAATGTTTTTCTCTATGTAAAATGACTTTCTTGAAATTATAGCTATTTTCATACGTAATCTCATTAGAAAGAACTGTTTTATCTTTAAAGCCTAAAGACAATCTGGAAACATTAAGAATTCATCTGGAACCCGGACAGCAAAAAACACCTTTTCTTTAATATGTAAGTAGGACTATCCTTATACATTATCTTTTTACTTCTGCTTTTTAAATCTATCAAAATGTATCTCATTTATCCTTGGAATCTGGTAATGCAAAAATGTCCACAGTATAAATGGCACAGAAATAGAGCTGCCATGAGAAACAATGCAGAAAAAAAGTCACAAAAATTATAATCACAACATAAATATATCTTACTCTTTGTAGTCCTTCATACCAATCATCTTGCTCAAACCAGTGTGAAATGTAAGCCATCCAAGCCATAGGATGTTTCTACTTTAATCAAGGCAATTGGAAACCCGGCATCAGAATCGTCAGCACCTAAAGCAATAACAACGTGTTTCAACCAAGCAGCTTTACCGAACTCTGCCTTAGGAAATGTTATTCAGTACAAGAGGCCAGACGTGCACAAACATTACAGCTGAAACAGTTTTAATAATTTATAAATAACAGTACCTATAAAAATAATGCTGAACCAGAAACCATAAGCCTATATTCAAATAAGAAATAAATCAAACAGTAATTCCGTTGTATAGTCCTGGAGAACGTTATGTCAAACATTTTAGTAGGCTTTCAGCTTTCATTCTAAAAACACATCCTAGATTTAACTTTAGCAAGAAATAGGCAAATTATTTCTAAAAGTTACCAAATTAAAAATAGAAAGACCATAAAGCAACAAGAGGGAGAAAATTAGTCCTATATACAACCTCAGGAGCTGGACATAAAACTAGAATAAAGCCTTCAGGTTACAAGGTGTACAAGACAAGGCCAGTTCTATATTTCTACGTGCTTCCAGCTCTAGTTGAGAGTTAAATCCTCTCTCAGTTAGCTGACTGCCAATTACCTAAGTGCCTCCGGAAGTTCAGAGACAATGCATCACTTCATAGAGTGCTGAAGTGTCCAGCAGAGACTCAAAATCACATGAATCTGACTTCGTTTTAGTTTTCCTCACTTCTGGGAGAAATTATTTACTAGCCCTACTAAAGAAGAGGTTTGTTGGTGCACTGGAGAATATCTGGACTTCAGAATATTCTCTATAAAGTTTAGGTACTTCATCCAACATCTAACAAGTCCTGAGTGATCTTTTCCTGACCAAACTCATCAAACCCTTAGAACTTAGTGGAGAAAAAAGGAAGAAAGGGAGGGAGGGAGGGACGAGAGGGGTGGAAAGAAAAAGAAAACAATTTGATTAATTTGAGTGTTTCATTCTTCATATCCAAAAAGTAAGACAGCTTTTGTTCTGGAGTAGAGAGATTGCCTGACTTACGAATATCACTGTAGCTGGCTGAGAACAGCCTTATCTCTAAAAATCTATTAGATGCAACATGGCATTCCTCTTCTTCCTTATTCTCTAGAAATATTTTCAACAATATCTGCCTGAAGCCCCAGGTCAAAATACCTGGGAACAGGCTGTCAGTGCCACAGGATGTTCCAGGACTGGTACAATCTCCAGCTTAACTGGCTTGCATCTTGATGACGTCCCTGAATGTGGACCAAGCTTTCTGTTCTGCCCTTTGAGCTCCCACTGTTTTGCCCTCTGAGCCCTGGGTTCCTGCCCAGCAGCTCAGAATTTGCATCCCCTTCACTGTCCTGCCCTCTGGATTTGTGCCCCTCATTGCTGTCTCTCTTAGCTATTGCCTATTCTGTTTTGAGTTTCAATTCTGTGTCTATGTCCTGCCTCAACCTTTTTCACCCAGCCTTGAACCTGTATCTAGCAGTTGTCCAAAGAATATCTAACTACCTTGCCACCATTTCAGTGGTTCCAGTCTCTCAAGCCAAATCCTTAAAATCCATTTCAACGTACCTACCCTGCCTAGATCCCGCAGCCTTTTATCTGGTAATCTCGCTATGAACACTAGTAAAGCCAAGCTTCTCTCTTTCAAGTGATAAGAATTCCCTTTGACCACCCTCATTCTTTCCTTTGTCCTGAATCATCATTATACTCTAGACAGTCACCTGAAATAAAACATCACACATCTTTGATTCTTTCTTCACCTTCCCCACCACCTCCATTACAACTGACCACCAAGTCTTAACCTTTAAGACGTCTCTTCAAAAACCCCTTCTCTCCATCCCTAACGCCAGTGTTTTAGTGAAACCCTTCACTGTGTCTTGCACTTTCCCTGCCTCCCTGCTTTCAATGCAGTTCCTAAACATGCTCTATGCTATCATGACCTTACGCCTTGAAGTTTTGAAATGCTTTTGCCTGAACTGGCCTTCCCCTCCCCTTTCTCTGTGAATAATGGGCTATTTCATATTTATCAAGACTCAACTTAATATCTGTCTTCTTCGAAGTCTTTCTCAAATGCACCAAATCCCCCATCTGTGTGCCTTTAAGTCTATATTTGTATTGCACTGGATAGTGATTATTTGTGTAGACAAAATTGTGAGTTCCCCGAGACTCTGAGACGGAAGCGTTTCTGGCAGGTTTGAGAAATAGTAAGAAAAATCAATAGAAGTATATAAAAACGTGTATTCAAAGGTCAGAGACATATCATGATGCAGAGATCCAGGGTAGTTTTGTTGAACTCCTCTTTATCCTCTTCAGAATTTTGCAGAATTTCTTAATACAAATCTATTGCCTGTATTAATAAATTTTTTTTAAATCTCAGACCCTAAAAAATCTTGTTGAAAATCAGTGTTTAAAATTTGAAAACACACATGCTCAGTTATGCAAAAAATTCTCATAAGCACATATAATGAATATGTGTTCATGAGAAAACATTTAGAAACTGCAAAAAAAATTGGAAAGTTTTTTTTTAAGCAGCCATTAGCCTACTACCTTGAGATCTTCTTCCTCTGTCTAGCATCCATAATTCTAAATGACCACTATTCTCACTGATAGGTACAGCCACAGATTATCAAGGATAAATATAATCTTAAAGATCTCTAAATCAGTGCATCTCAAGGGGTGGTTCTCAGGTATCTTGCATTCACTGAGAAACTTGCTAAAAAGTGCAAATTCCTGGATTACATCCTCAAAAATAGTGAATGGGAATCTTGGGGTGGAGTGTGGAAATCTGCTTTTTAACATCACTCCCAGATGATTTATAGCACAGTAAAGCTTGAGAACTACTTCCTCAGTTCAACAACAGTAAAGATAATTCAGCAGATAAACTGCCTCTGGTATCTGCTACTGACTGAGATTAAGCTCTTAAATTTCAATCATTCCTAAAATTACCTTTCATGTGCTTGGCAGGGCATTTTATCTAAGCATTCTTCCCAACATATGTCAAATCCTGATGTTCTTAAAAGCTTAGATGATAAAATAGGTCACAAGTACAGCATTAACCTACGTTAAAATCCTGGATTAGACAGCAAATAGAAAAGAATAAGGTCATTATGGTAGTTCTAGTTTGGACTCACAGACTGACTACTTTTACTGGTAGGAATTCCAATTTGATCAGCAAGACCCAGGATTATATGTAAGACCAAGAAGACCAAGACACTGATTCAAAGATGTGGCAAAGTGAATGCAGTGATTTTATTATCCACCTACATATTTATTTTATACTTTTCTACATTTTAACCAGCAATGTGAAAATTACATGGATTTGAAATCTGGAATTAGATTTTCTAGGTGCTTGGAGGACTGCAGAATCTCTTGAGCTGCAATGTGAAAATGATTTTTAATGTGATCAAAGGTGTAATCCACTTTTCTTGAACAATAGGGTAAACACACCTTCTATGAACCAGTCTAAAAGAGTCAGCCAAAGAAAAACAGAGGGGTGAAATCACATATTTTTACCCATAAACTAAGAAGTCAGAAATAAATATTCCATTGAAAGAGATACTTTAAAAGTAAACATGTAAATGTTTGTCATAAAAAGATAAAGGATTATTTTTATAATAGAGTAAGGCAAAAATAAGTAGCATTATTTTTACAAATATGATCATTTCTCATGAAAGAAGAATTGAGAAGCTATGGCAGGAATCGTTCTATAAACCTGAGGACCCCCATCCCCCTTATAAATAATCTGTTTTGTAAGTTGGATTTTGTATATGAGTTTTTAAAGCAGGATGGGCCTTTATGCTTCTCTGTCTGTGAAAATCAGATGTCTCATTTGGCAGAAACAGTCAGTTAGACTAGCATTTTCATGTTCTGGGCCAAAGGTGTTAAAAATTATTGTTGGCAAGTCAGTTGAGAAAAACCAGCAAAGGAAATAAAATGGATCTAAACCTTGAAAACTTTAAAATGAAAAGAAATAGTGACGTAAAGTCACTAAATCAAAAAATGTCTTTAATATACACATCAATCCATCCATTGATAGGAGGCCTGAAATAAACCCTAAAGTTTGATAAGCAAAGAGTTGTATCAGCTGAGGAGAGGCCAACGCCTGCTGGAGACAGGTTGCTAACTAGTTAACAGTCCAGTTGCCAAAAATTATACCCTTAGCCAACATAAAACTCCCACAAAGACAAACTAATGCGATTAATAAGAAAATGAGATAGTATGTCCAAAAAGCTACAACTGAAAGGTAGATGTTTATGAAACGTATCCACAATTATATTTTCAGGAGTGAGTTCATTTATTCTGCAGTTCAAGTAAAGTTTCAAGAGTGAAACTGTATACAAACATCACCAGGTCCAGTGCTGACCCGGTCCGAGGGCACAATGCACCTGACGTCAGTACTTCTCAAGCTCTATCTTGTGTAAGAAATCACTTGAGGCTCCTTAAAACGCAGGTTTCAGGTGCTCCCCCAGAGATTCTGATTTGGCAGGGGTGGCCTGAACATGTGCATTTCTGACAAGCTCCCAGGAGCTTGTCACATCCAGTAACACTGTTTCAGGGGGCGTCTTGTACCAAAAGGGGCAGAAAGTCTAGACAATAAATGCATCCAATTGCAAAATTCTACCCGGTGGTAACCACAATCCAGGCTTCAGACATAACTTTCCAAAGCTTTTTATTTCTAGTATTCTTAACATTCAGTCGCAGACGTGATGGTGGCGTATAGCTGAGGACTACTGGGGGTATTAGGATAAAGAATTTAGAAGCTACCTGGATTCCCCAAAATCACAGGAGACCTTGAAGCAAAACTTAAATTGTATTAATGAGCAAATAAAAAAATCGTACAAATTGTAGGAAAACCCTTTTATCTAATATTTGAAGCAAACTTTCTCTATGATGAGACCAAACACATGCAATTTGTTCATCATGTACAATAATTATTTTAACAATAAAAATGTGATCTGAAACTTCATGACTCAAACTTTTGAATCAGGCACTTAAAGAAATATTATAAAAAAGAAACTGATCTTGGTGATACATTTTGCATTGACATCTCTTTAGGGAGAAACACAATGTTGAGTGTTAAGAATCCAGGGTTCTAGACTAGCTTTCTCACTGACTAATTTGAAGCAACATCATCTTGATGTGTTCAGTG